CGGCCCTCTGCCACTGGGGGAAGAAGACCTTCTCCCTCGGCTGAGGCTCCGGGCCCCCGCTCTCGCCGTGACAGCCGTCCGAGGAAGGGGCGGGCGTGGGTGTCACATGATGCCATTGGTGAGGTACTGGAAGCCATCGTAGAGCTTGGTGGTGATGGAGCGCATGCTGCCGTCCACCATCTGCTCCACCAGCATCTGCAGCTGCTCTTCTGTCATGTTCATGTGAAAACGCTCCTTCAGGTTGCGGATGGTGCTGGAGCCATGGAAGCAGGGGAGCTGGGAACCTGGGGCAGCACAAGAGTCAGGTCAGAGCAGCCAAACATGCACGCATCACGACCCCCCCCAACCCTGGGCTCACCTATGCTGCGGACCACCATCTGACACTGGGCCACGTCATCAGGCAACATCAACTGGCCTGGCTTGAGCAACATCGACAAGCGGCCCCCTTTAACCCTGGCTAGAGACAGGCCCAGGGGTGTCCCCAAGGTCCCATGCAACAGACGACTTCCCTATGTGCAGCCTACCTGCTCCCCAACCCCCTAGACGGCCTGCGCTGCCATGAGGGCTTGGCTTTTCTTGCTGCCTCTAACACAGCTGATGCCAGCCCAGTAACGACTAGCCCAGGCCTGACCCCTGCTCCGAGGCAACCAGTCCCTACCGATGGCGTTTCCTGCACTCCAACTCCTAGAGCCTGCAGCCGTGAAGCCCGGGTTTGGCAGGCTCTGCCTGCTGGGAAGGGATAGCAGCACTGCTGTAGCAGCAATGGAGGCTGGGGTCACAGTCACTCCTTTCCTGGTTCTCTTCAGAGGGGTTCAGGGCTGGGAGGTGCTAGTCCTCCCCTTACATAGACAGGCAAGCAGCCTGAATCAATGGGACGCGTGGGTCTCTAATCCCCCCTGCAACCACTGGAAATTCACACCTGCGGCGACCCCCGTCTGCTCTGCACGTGTTGGGAGGAGCTAGAAACAGAACCCCGGTGTCCTGACAGTCACCACTACCAAGAGCTTCCCCCTAGGCTTCCCACATAATCACGTGGTTGTAAAGAAGCATCTAATGCTTCGTGCAACAGACGCCCTGCCCTGCTCTCCGGGCCTGCAGATGAGATGTATCCTGAGCTGCAAGTTTCCACACGCAATGTTTTATATTCACTTTCCAGCCAGGAGTGCTGGCCTGATGGCAGGAAAGCCGATATGCAGGGCAGGATGCCAAGGGCCAGCAGCAGTGCCCTTTGCTCGGGTAGCTTTACCTCCACACAGCTTCACGTGTCCTGACCCCTTGCTGCCATGGGCAGGAGCTGGCTGTGGGGGCCAGGCTGAGCCATGGGGCCAGGCCATACCTTGCTGCATGATCTCCACAATCTGCACGACCTTGTCCATGTGCTTCCGGGCAGCGATGAGACCCTGCAGCATCAGCATCTTGTAGTAGTTGAACATGTCCCCGTCCAGGCCTCCCATTACCTGGAAAGCAGCCGAGCGGCAGGGCTGAGCACAGCTGACAAGAACAGCAGGAACTGGGGGGGCAGCCACGGTGCCCCTCCACAGAGGGAATGTCACAAGCAGCTGCCAGGACCCAGCCTGGCCCTGACTGACAGCTGCCTCCAACTGTTGGGTGCACATAACCTGTACCCACACCCTTCCTACAGCCTGAGGGGCCCTGGGCACAGAGTGGGTGCTTCTGTACAGCTGCTCATTCTAAAATATTTGACAGTGCTGTAGCTAGAGAAGGCAAATTGGGGGGGGGGCCCACAAGCACCAAGCAATAACTATAGGGGGCCAGAATGGAGGCAGGGGTTCACCCAGAGGCTCTTTCATCTGGCCACAGAGGCAGCAGGTCAAAGTCCTTCCAGCCTCATGTCCCTCCCCTCCCCACAAGGGCAGCAGCAATGGCATTAACCCTCACAGGCAGCTGCTGAATAAAGGCTTTTACCAGCCAAGTTCTACATGCAAAAGTCAGTGCTGGCTGTGAGGGGGTTACTGCATACAGCTGTTGCAGCAACAGACTCTTCTCCCAAGTACAACCCCTTTCCCCCCTCCTGTGTCCTGGGCACAGAAAGTTGGTGACACCTCCATGTCTCAATTTCCTGAGACAGGCAGGCACCACCCTCACCTCTCACAGCCCTCACAGCCAGAGACAGTGAAGGAAGAAGGGGGAAGGAACCTATCCCCAATCTCACAGTGGGTGGGGACTAGGAGCCCTGGGTCAACATCCCCTGCTGTAACCACTAGCTCACCGCTGCCGCCCTGAGCTGGGAAGCTTTCAGGCCTCCCCTGGGGCCTCAGGCCCATGCAACTAGCCTCCCCGCAGCAGCTATGAGCAACCCACTCACATCAACAAACTCAGTGGTGAGCTTGAAGGCTGATGTCTCAAAGCCAAGGTTCCTCGGTGAGCTGGAGAGGATGAACCCAAAATCGATGTGGATGATGTGCCCATCTGCATCCAACAGTATGTTGCCGTTATGCCTTGGAGCAGGGAGACAGACAGAGAGAGGCTGTCAGCGAGCTTGGAGACATTCTCCCCACCTGGTGACAAGACCTGGGATCAAAGCTGCGAAAGGAGTTGCTTCCATGCACCCCCTGGCAAACCCATAAGGCTGGAAGGTTCTGCCAGCCTCTTAAACAACGCTAGGAAAGGACATACAGCCCAGGGCACTGGTGGTCACAAACTTCCCCCACACAAGACAAGCATTCAATCAGGTGCAGAGCACCCTCAATGCCAGAACTAACAGGAGCCTGGGTCAGAGACATCAATGCCTGGCACTAATAGCAGGCTCGCCTCAAAGCCACGGCCTGCTTTGTGCTGGCACCCACTATGTGCGAGGTCACTGCCTGGGAAGACCCCCAAGCAGCACCTTGCTGCCCAGTCCGCAGGTCCAACGAGTTCAGAATCCTGCCTGTTGCAGCGGCAGAGCACATCTAGGCAAGGCCTGTCCAGGTTGAGCTGTGCCCTGTCCCCCTGCCTACATGGCTTCTCAGGTCAGGTAGGAAGCATGCCAGGCGGCATTCAAGACTTGCTGCTTCCTTGGGGGGGTTATAACAGCCCAAATGACTATGCAGGACATCACTGCCCCGATTCCTACTGCCAGCTGGTTCCAAGGGGGACAAAAATTACAGTAACTTCTAGCATACAGCGTGTACCTTTCCCCACAAAAAACCCACACAAGTAGTGCAGCAAGAGTAGTTTCTGCCACCGCAACTCCACTGATGCTGCTACTACAAAACAAGGCCTTTCTTCCTTTGTTCTGCCTTTCAAAAACAAGGTGCTTATTATGTTCTGGGGCGTGTTGCATGTGAGAAAATACGGTATCAGCCACAGCACATGCTCTGTGGTTGGACAGCAGCACATGGCCCACACCTGTCTTTGACCTGGAGCAGGTAGCAGACCAGGCAGTAGCCGGCACAGCTCTGCACAAAGTTCCTCTGAGCAGTGAGGAATGCCTCTGTAGTGTAGTTGCCATGCTCCTGCAGGAAGTAGTCCAGCAGCGAGAGCTGGGACTGCTTCTTGACCTGGTGGATGGACACGGCGTTGACAACTGGCTCAATCATGCCACTGTCTGCAGAGATGACGAGGATTTTGTATGGCTTGATCCAGAGGGGCACACGCTCCTGCTCCCATATGGACTGCAAGGAGACAGAGAGAAGGGTGAAGCACCTGAGAGGCAGGCTGAGCCCCACAGCAGACAGCAGCTCCCCTCTGCCCTACCTGCAGCTGCTTGAGGACTTGGAATGCCAGCAACTCCTGCCGCAGGTCGTCCCCACATTTCACAATTACGGAGAGGAGGCGCCAGTTGGGCAGGTGGCCATATGGGGAACCTTCCCGGATCCGTCTGAGGGGAGAAGCAACGGTTAGCAGGGCTCCGTGGCACAGTGAAGAGGCCTTGTGGTTTCTAGCCCTGGTGGAGGGTTTGACAGGATCTCTGCCTGGAAGCACAGAGGACTAGTTTGAGGGCCCTGGGGGCCTGTCTTGGCCCTCTATCCCTGGGGTGTCAGCTTTGGGGACAGGGAACTTTATGCCTGGTACAGGGGCAGCTGCCTCTTAGCACAGCTTCTTAGGTCTGGATTCAGCTAAGTGCTTGCTTCAATGATTTGCTACAGCTTGTGTCAAACTGGGACCCTGGCCTGCAAGAGCTGGAGGCAGGGAGGTTTCCTGCACGTGGGCACTGTGCAGATGGAACCCCAGCAGCAGCTGCCACGCTCAAGGAGCACAGGAGAGGTCCCCGCAGCAGAAAAATCAAGAGGGCTGGACAGGAAGACACCCCCCCCGCCCCCCCATCTCTTCATTCCACCTCCAAAACTAGGCCAACAAGACATTCCCCAAGCTCCCAGAGCAGAAGCCCCATCAAGTCAATGCATGGAGGATTCTCTACTTTGCAACATCAACCCAAGCACTGCCAGGGCTCAACCAAGACCATGCACTTGTGGACTGAGCAAAATTTCCCAGGCCTGGTGCTGGGATTTCAGTGCCAATTCATTACAGGGATGAACCCAGCATCTACCTGTCCCCAGCCCCCTCCCTTTGTACCGGACTTTCTCCTGCCAGGGCTCCTTCAGGGCCACAGCAGAGGGGTCCTCGGGGTCTCTCTTGAACGCTGTGGGGGTGTGAGCAAGCTGCTCAGAGAGGCGCCGCCTGCAAAGAGACAGTGAGAATGAGAAGCCGCATCCTACACAGGAGGCTTCACTCCAGAGCCCCCACACACCCTCCCAGGGACCGCTGTCCGTTGCAAAGCGGATACACTGAGTGGCTGCTTGAACATTTCAAGGCAGAAAATGAAACCTGTGGTTTGTACTGGGAACTACAGAGGCTGGTTTGGGGCTAGCCAGCTTAACCCATGGTGAGCACACTGTGACCACGCATAGGGACAGGGGCAGCCACAGATCTCACCCAAGTGAGCCCATGCTAGCAGCACAGCAGGGAAGGGAAAACCCTGTCCCACAGGGAAGCCCAAGAAGATGGGCTACAGGGCTCCGTCTCCTGAGATTGGGGGGGGCGGGGCGGCAGCGGCTTTTCCTTGCCTTATTCTACAGCCTCAGACAACCCTCCTGTAAAAGATCTCACCCACCCCAGCACCAGCCCCCTGCTACCTGATATCTCCGGCAGCAATGAACACAGGCTCCTTGCTCTCCTGGCTGGTGATGCTGTCCACAGAGAACTGGGAGATATTGTCACAGCTGTTAGTGTGCATCTCTGGCAGCTGTGGGGGAGACAGACTGAGTTACAGAGTGGAAAGCCTCACGCTCTCCCAAGGGCGATGACAAGGTACTACACCACTCACTACACAACCCAGAACAAAATTCAGTCATTATTAGACCTGCGAGAATAGGGAAATATTCAATTTGGATTCGGCCAATTCGGAGGACAGTGATTCGATCTGGATCACCGTCCTGAATCGATTCAGCCAAATCAGCTTCGGAAGATTGAGCGCCGATTTGTAGAGATTCGGATTGACCGGGGAGAGGCAGGGTCTCCTGCAGCTCCTCCGGCTGTGCCTGCCTCTCCCCAGGCGGGGTGGGGGGGAAGCTGCAGGAGAAGCCCCCATGGCTGCCCTGCCTGGCCCCGCCCCATCCCCTGCCCGGCCCCAGCACTAAAAAAAAGCCCCACACACTGGCTGTGGAAGCGGTGACTTGGGCCTCTTAGCATTTATGGCAGAGCCCCCCCCGTGCAGCGTGGAGATCGTCTCCCCACAGCCTGGCACCCGCACAGCAGCTGCCCCATGGTGTGGGTGCAGCACGACTTGGAAGGGTGCTGCATGCTGTCTGGGAGCTGGGGCTGCGCGCTGGATGATGCAGGATGACAGCAGGCTGCCACTGCCGCTGCCCACTGGTGATGGCAGTGGCTCTGGGTTATTTCCCCAGGCGGCAGCAGCAGCCTCCTGAAACCCTGCACGCAGATCTGGGGGCCATGCGCCCCGGGAAGAGCTGGTGAATCGAACCAGGAGCTCCAGCCGATATGTAGAACCACCCCAGCTTCCAGACAGCACCCCTGCTGCCAGAGCCGGAGAGTGTGGGGCTTTTTTTTCCTTAAGTGCCAGGAGGCTGGGGCCAGGCAGCGCAGCCATTTGGGGCTTCTCCCATGGCAGCTCCGGCTGTGCCTGCCTCTGCCCCGGGGCAGGGAGCCGCGGGGTCTCTGCCCTACTCTTGGTTGCCCAGCTTGCACCAGCAGGGGGCCGGCCACGATGCAGGCATGGGTCTCTCCGGGTGGCAGCAGGGCATAGCCCTCACTCCCAGTGCT